CCCTTCAGAAGCGCGGTTGGAGTCTGGGCCGGTGCCGATGCGGAGTGAAGAAGCTCCGTGCGAGAAGGCGGATAGCAGCGGGAAATCTGCAGAAGCGACAGAAGAAGACTGCAGGCCAGAAGCGATAGAGACTATGCCGCACTGGTGGAGGGAAACTAGTACGAAGGAGTCCTCCAACCAAGGAGGAGCCTTGTGCTACGTGGGTGCAACAGCGGTACTTCGCGTTGAGCTTGCAGGAACTTCATGCGAGGCACTTTTAGACACAAGCGCTTCGAGAAGTTTCATTAACCCTAAAACAGTCGCACGATTGCAGCTGAGGGTGCGGAGACTTCCAGAAGAGCATAGGTTCACTGTAGCTACAGGTGAACAATTACGCATTGATCGAGTTGTGAAGGGGTTGACGACGCAATGTGGACACGCACGCCTTTCCGGGGACTGCTTAGTGGGACCCGTTCCCTATGATTTAGTCTTGGGTTTGGATTGGCTGACTGAACATAAGGTGGCCTGGTATTTTCAGTCCAACAAGCTCCGGGCCTATGTGAATGGCCAGTGGTGCGAGTTACCGGTCCTTAGGACGGGTGAAGAGACATTGCAGGGTGACAGTCACATAGTAGCACCTCCAAGGAGTCCTGCAGAGCAAGCGTATGACATTTTGGCTAGGCAAGTGGCGGGGATGTCAGCGGAGGAGGCTGCCATATTCCTACAGCCGCCACCTAAAAGGTATAAATCCCATGCGGAGACTAAGGCGAAGGCACGGAAAACGTTACTTGCTCGCCAGGCGGCGGCTGACGCAGAGAATCTCAGGGCACCATTGCACGGTTTGCATTACATCCTGGCTTTGCCCGACGCTGGCTCGTCAGTGGCACTGAGGTTCACGGACGACTAGCAAGGCACACTTTGCTGCACGTTGATCGGGAATCGACCCAAAGCCTCCGGTTGTAGCCGTTCTTTGGCCTCTACTGCCTTGACAACAGCGGAGGATGAAGAAGAGTCTCCACGGCCTACGGTAAAACTCGAACACACACACTTCGATGAGTGGACAAACTCGACAGCGGGACAAGCTATTCCATTCGAGATTACCAAGGTGTTGAAAGAGTATCGGGCTGTCTTCCCCGATAACTTACCTAAAGCATTATCGCCGAAGCGCCCTCATGATCACCATATCCTACTTGTACCTGGAAAACTTCCAGCGAAATCTGCGATTTACCGAATGACCCCAGATCAGCTCGCATTCCACAAACAGGAGATAGCTAAATAATTGGACATTGGTTGGATTGGACCAACCCATTCGCCTATCTGCTCTCCTACGATAATGGTCGACCAGCGCGATGATGGCTCCGGGGAGAGGAAGATGCGTACGGTTGTTAATTACCAGGCTCTGAATGCCCTTACATTCGCTCCAGATTTTCCATTACCTCCTATTTAAACCATTCTGGAGTTGCTGGGAAGCACCAAGTACTTTTCCACTTTGGACCTCGAAGCAGGATTCTATCAAATACGTATGGCTAAGGAAGACCGTTGGAAGACGGTGTTCCGTTCCGTTTTAGAGCTATTTGAATATCAAGTTATGCTCTTTGGCCTTAAGGGTGCTCCAGATACGTTTCAGGCCAACATTAATGTCTATCTTCAGCTTTTATTAGGGCAGGGTGTTATTGCGTACCTAGATGATGCACTTATTTGTAGTTCCGACATCTCTGGACACGTTTCGCTCCTGCGACAAATTTTCAGTGTTTTCCTGCAAAACCAATTCTACCAAAAATTCCGCAAATGCAAGTTCGCTAGGCAAGCAATCACATATTTGGGTTATACCATCACTGCGGAGGGCATCAAACCTGCAAAAGACAAAATCGAAGCTATCCGGCACTGGCCAGAGGTGCTGAAAATTGAAACGCAAGTGCGGCAGTTCCTCGGCACCATAAATTACAGTCGCATGTTCATGGGACCTGATTATGCCGACGTCGCTCGGCCGCTGGTTGAAATTACGCGTAAAGACGTTAGTTTCAAGTGGACAGAGCTTCACACGCAAGCGGTGCGGCAGCTCAAACAGCGCTAATCGACTTCACTACATTACAAGCCCCTGACACCACGAAGCCCTTCGAGTTGTACACGGATGCCTCTGGTTATGCGATCGGAGCGGTTCTAGAACAAGAAGGCAAGCCCATCGATTTCCTCAGCTAAGTTATGAACCCCACACAACAGACATACTCGATCTACGATCAAGAACTCTTGGCGTTGGTCACGGGCCTAGACAAGTGGTCTCATTTGCTCCGTGTCACCAAAGTTATAGCTCATACAGATCACCAAGCTCTTACGCATCTCCAACGACTCCAAGCATCGAAGCCTCTTCGTGGGAGCACCGCTCGGTGGTTAGATTTCCTGGCCGAGTTCTCGGGTTTGCACATCACTTATGTTCAAGGGGCGCGAAATCAGGTGGTTGATGCCTTGCCTCCGCCGTACTGGTCTTTCTAACATCTGCTCACACGACACACTAACGACATGATTGATGCTTGCACTAGAACAAACGCGTTCGGCTCCTCAGTCTCGTGGTCGGCCCGCTAACTACAGGGAGCTCGCTGGCATTCGTTCGCGACGATCCAGACAACGCACCTTGCCATCATCACCTTCAACACCGCCGCCTGAGCCCAGTCCAGAGGTGGCACATTCTACACCTGCAACGAAGACGCGAACTGACCCTCCTGAGGCGCCTGAATGGCCGCAAGCCTACTCCAAGTGTCCTATTTTCCGCGCTCGCTACGAAGTCGCTGCAAAACAACCAGGAGACGCTATACAGATAGAGTTTCGCAATCGTCTCATTACCTTTCGCCCTGTGCCGCCTTACTTGCACATTTCTATTCATGGACTATGGCGAATCTGTGCTCCACAATTCCCTGAGTTCCTTACGCATGTCTTGCATTCACATCGTGACCGTGTGACGGCCGGTCATCGAGGCCAAAAGAAGACCTTCACGGCTCTGAGCAAGCAGTACTACTGGCGACGGATGCGTGCTTACACTAATGCATATGTTGACTCCTGTACTCACTGTCGCGCGTCTAAGTGTAGTGCACAGGCACTACAATAGGGCTTGCTGGTGACCTATAGAAGAAAGCTACCCGGTGACCTACAAGAGGTCATAACATGGTACGAAGACAGGACCCTCTTACTAGGATCGAAGTAAGCCAATTTGTCGGCGAATTAGCGTGTATACACTAGACGTGCCTGAAAATACCCAGAGATTGGGCCTGGCGATAGCGCCGGCACCGATGCAGGCCTCCTCCCCACAGGGCCTAGGAGGCGAGAACCCCGAGTGGGGGGGATTTTGATAACAGATTTTAAAAAGCTATGAACAAATGTATTTCGTGACATTTGGTTTACTGTTTCAAAGAAATGCGCCGTTGGTAGACGGTTATCGTGGGCCCCTCCTCGAGGGGACAGGTAGCAACGTAGTCGCAGCAGTAGGTGCTGTGCACTACACTAAGTCTCTGAGCCAGAAACCTGCAGGCCTTCTTCAGCAGCTACTCATCCCTTCGCGTCGATAGGAACACGTGAGCCTCGATTTTATCACGGATCTTCTTCTTACGACAGGGCACGACTTGATTCTCGTGATGGTCGACTCCTTCCGCAAGATGGTTCATTTCGTTCCTTCAAAGAAGTCATTCACAGCAGCAGACACCGTGGAGCTTCCCACAGACCGTCTCATCCGCTACCACGGATTTCCAGAGGTACTCATATCGGACCGCCGCCTCCGCTTCCAGTCGGATCTCTGGCAACAACTCTGTAGCCGCTTTAACATCAAACGGCGCATGTCCTCGTCCTGCCATCCGCAAAGCAACGGTCAAACCGAATGGATTAGCCGTACAATGGAGCAGATGCTTCGTACCTACATGCAATCTGACGAACGCGAGTGGGAGCGTTTGCTCCCGGTCCTGGAACTTGCTTACAACTCAACAAGTCATTCCTCCACCGAGCTCTCTCCCTTCGAGGTCATGATTGGCTAGAATCCGCTGACTGCTGCGAACCTTCATATTGTAGGCGCGTTAGCTCCTACAG